TAATACAGACTCACTGGAGTTTATTATTAGATTGGTAGTCTTAAATTTAAGGTTTATTTATTACTGTTATAGTAGCTCTTCTTAGTAATATGACCTTAATACGAGTATGTATATATGCGTTGCACGATGGTTCAGAAACTTTAAAATTTTTGGTTTATGTTATCGGTTTTTGTCTGTAATGTAACTAAGTATCTTCAATTTAATTTTTAATGAGTTTTGTATGTATAGAACCAGTTTTTAATAAGGTTAAAGTTTACACAATTTAGTTTACTGCAACATTATAACTTAATTTATATTTATTCGAATGCAACTTCTTATATTTATATGACCCAGTTCCATTGGATGCACTGACTTCCTGTGTCGGTAATTCAAATGGGTCAACAAACGTTGGATTGTCGGTTGCCATGTCGAACATTAATCCAATCATTATGAACTAAAAGGTTAACCAACCAGTCTATCTCAAATTAACATTGACTGTTCTCATTCTTATCTATTTTATAGAATATGATTGCTTGTTCGCTACTCAAAAAATGTTATTCTTGTGTCTACTGAATTATTAAAAAAAATAAATATCAGTATGATCTGCTATAGAATGTTATTTGTCTGATGTTATCACGGTTTGTCTGGATACTACCGCACCGCTGTAAATATATCGTAAGGCCGTCAAGCGTAGCTAATAAAGCTTGCGAGATGACCTACATTTGAAATTTATAATTTAGCAGAAGCGATTGACCCGGACCGCATACCGATAAATTTGTTTTAAAACATTTTAAGATACTATCAATATTAACAAACGATGCGGTGACCAACAAATTTCTGAAAAAGGCATTCTGATGGTCGTTAAGAAGGTTGTATAAATAAAGTTGTTATGTTTGGTTAACGTCCTCTATTTTGGTCTTCAATTCCGTTCGAATGATCTCACCCATCCTTTTATTTGTATAGACCGTTTTTTGTTTATGGTATCCGGTCTAGGTATTAAATACCATAATATTGTCTTAAACACATTATTTAGTCATCTATGCTTACAAGACATTATTAAATGACAGACAACTCACCTTTACGGAGCTCGTTAGCCCTAAAATCAAAAGTGTCGACATCTTCTCGTCTCACCAACACATAGCGCAGGAAACGACGCTAGAAATAGTTTTCTGTGTTCCACATTATATCAATGAAGCAAACAAAACATTATTTAACTGGTCTGAAACATATAAACTATCGTTATAAAGCGTATTTTAAATTAACACATGCATACGTTATTAAAATATTATGACGTATTCAGCGTACACAGCTGTATTAATGTATACTTATATTTAATTAAACATTAACAACGCATTCATTGAAACTTCAGAGTTAGAATTTATAAACTATACATAACTTTTAACTAATGGTAATGAAGAACTATATCGACGCACCAATTATATTAATGAATGTATTATACATTGGCGCCTCGACAATACTTATATATAACCATGTAAGGTTCAAACAGAGAAGCAAAATGAATACTTAATTATGCTTTGATTCATTGCACATACCATCGAACAAATCTTCGTTATAAAAATCGTTCCATAATGCGAGGTATAATGTTTATATTGGCTTGAACGGTAACCTTTATCCTCTTTATCTTTCGCATTATAAATAAAATTGAGAACATTGCAATGTCCATGCTTTGCATTGCGTTGTTTTATTTTTGATGCATAAAATTGTAGACTACGAATTAATCCCAATAAATTTGCAATTATTCAGCAATGAATAATTATACGAGCAATAATTCAGCATAAGCGTTCTAACGTAAGTGTTAAATTAAATCTTGATAATAAGAAGATTCACGTAATGTGGAATTTCGCTTACAATCAGATCTTGTCATTGCACCGTTAAAATATAAGACAACTAGCTTTCTGCCAGCGGCTTCATCCGCGTGGTATTGTATTATACATAAAAACCTTCCTTTTGAATCCCCCTATGTATTAAAAAAAACCGCATCAAAATCCGTTGCGTAGTTTTAAAAATTTAAGCATACATAGGAATATAGGGACAGAGAAAGCGACTTTGTTTTATACTATGTAGTAAAGATTGAGATTTGATTACATCCTTGTAAACTGGGATGCAACAAACACATCAAATAGCAGATATCCAGCAAAGGTATTTTTGAATTTCCAAGTATTTCTTGGACAAGAAATCGCTATACGTGACCGGGATGGTAAAGTCGTTTCACTATGGATACCAAATATGTCAGCAGCACAAGTACCATTATGGGCATAACTACAGGAGTCAAACTGGACATCGACTGTCGTGCACATTGTTACCGATGTTCGTGTTATATTGACGACGGTAGTAATGATACCATACTTAGGTCGCATTGATGTTATGTGAATTAGAATATAATGTCATTATTATAAAACAACTCAAATTCCTTTCCATGACAACATGTTCACTCAATTTATTACTATTGTTTCTTTTAAGTTAATTATAATATCATCTCTTATACAGATTTTTATTGTTTAATAATAGTTGAGATAATTTTTACATAAAAAATAATGTCATTAAAGTTCATGGTCTTTCCGTCCTAGTTGATAAAGGTTGAAAGTTTCAATAAAAAATAACCTACATTTAGATCCATAGAGCTAAAATTGTTAAAACTATGTTGTATAGTTGCAAAAGAGTCATTATCTCCTGCAGAACCTTTTTCTGCCACTAACACGATATCTACGTTTGTTAAAGTTATCATTTTTCATCTGTATAGAAAAACATTTTGATTGGTCAATTATCCTTGGGGGTTTACTCAGATTTACAGTAACCTGTAGTTTGAATATAAACATTCATTTGATACGCGAGACTTCTGGGTGCAATGTATTGTGTCGGCAATGTTTTTGCACGCGTTGCGTCTTCTCTGAGTCAGACTAGGGTCATGAGGAGAGGTTATGGTGACGTCACTTTATACTAATAGATAGGTTCTTAAATTACACTTCAAAATAAAACTAATAGAATAATGACAGACGCAGCGGGGTTTTGCAGGTGAAGTAGATAATTTAATATCATCGATGAATTGTTTTGCTTTTGTAACATAGTTATTTAATTATTATTTTTCTTAAATCTAAAGGAATAAATGACATGATACTTGTTGACACTGCGCTAACTGCGCCGGTGTGGTTATAAAACAAGGAATAAAGGAAGTCCTTGTTTTATTAACCATGGCTCATGAGTTTTCAAGAATACATTTACCTACAGAAAGGATCTATTATTTTAAGATAATCTCTGCGTGAAAATTTTGTTTCTTTGGGAAAGGTAGAAGCAACAGGTTTTGATTTAATTGTTATTTCATTTATTCTATTTACTTATGAGAAATAGGGTGCTTCAAGTTTTATAGGTAAATTCAAGTTTTATAGGTTAATTTATCAGATTTAAAGAAATTCGGTATTCGACTACGAGTTTATTCGAGTCTAGAATATAAATTTTCTACGATTCGTATGAACAATTTCTTCAATAAAATAACAGATTATGCACTCATTAAAATATTACCCTGAAAGCGACATAGAGAAATAGAGAGAGAGGAAAAGATTGAACTGGATGATCTTTTTCCGAATTACCACTTGTCAGTTTGCATCCGAAGAGTCGCATTGACAACGATGCCACGAAGTGTTTAGTTGAAAGATCATCTCATCACATCGATGGTCTGACTGTGTTTTTATAGTCGTGAAAGCTGTCTGTCTGGCGCCTACGTCTTTTGTACAATTTATTACTCGAAAGCAGCGTCACCTTTATTTATGTTCAAAACATAACGTTAAGCATTTCAATAAATGTTTGTGTTAGACTTTGTGACCGTTTTTGCGTCTGCAATTTTTGTTTCAAAGTCGTTTTGAGTGTGATTTGTTACAGTGCAAATATTTTTTGCGAACGATTATATGCCTTTGAGTGAGATATGTTACAGTACACACGTGTTTTGCGAAACATTATCTCGATCGGCCCTATAATTTCGAATCTCTAAAATTCGCAAGTAATAACGCTATGAGTCAGAAATTGTAATTAGATGTTCTTACAACTCAACCCCATGAAGCAACGTTGAACATGAGTCACTGCCAGAGCGGAAGCAAAACGAATGTGGTTGCACAAGACAATAATATCATTCTACATTACGTCAGTTACAATTTCAAGCGTGAACTGCTAGAAATAAGGGCGTCTCGGATGAAGAGAAAACTAAAGTTAATTTTGTTTTATGGTTGCCGACGCGGTGCGTCTGATCTCAGATTTAGGGCTTCGTAATATTTTATAGGTACAATATCTTTGAAATCATAAATTAATATGTTTCTCTAACAACGGTTATTTCTTAATAAGAAATCGATTAGAGCAGTCGCCCGGACTGCGAAAGGTCGTGGGTTCGAAACTCATCTCAGAGTACCAGGGATTTTTTAAACATTTTTCAGTAACAATATTTTCCAGTATAATATGTGAATGCATAATTGGTCAAAATATAATTTCATTTATAATTATAATTTCAATATTTTTTTATGTGACCTCATTGATGAAATAACAGTAATTTCATCAATGAGGTCACATAAAAAAATATTTCTCTGATCGTGGCGATAGTTCTACTTTTTATACAGCCGTTTTTACTGTTGTAAGATTTAAAAATAAGGTTATAGGGTAATTTTCGGTATTTAAAAAAGTAAGATTTTTATGTAAATAATTTTATGAAGTTGACTTTAAACTAAACAGGAATAATAAATTAAATATGAAATAAAATTCGATCTCTCGAGACGCCTGTAATGCACAAGGATCTGTGAATAAGAGTTCAAACCCCTTTTCTTGAACATGTGTATGTTTAATATGGACACAGATTTCGTAATGTCAATTGATGCGGTAAATTGGAAGGCTTTTTTTACTTTAATGAAATCCATATGAATTGTACAGATTCTTGGAACTTTTCGGAAATGAAAAACAGACATATCAAACTGTAGATATATGAGGGAATGCTTTGCTAATATTTTGTAAATTTTAATTTTCAGATTTCAAGAAGGACTGGTCAGACCATGCCCTCTGGTGGCCAACACGTAACAAATGGCTATCACGGCCGAAACATACGTTGGATCAGTATGGTGTACACGCGGATGCCGCTCTTCACTTCACACCTATGCACAAGCCCCTGCGCATCCAACTACCTGATCTGCGGTATATAGACTGCAAGATTGACTTTTCTATCGACACTTTCAGCGCGGTAGTTCAATTATGCAAAAGTCTTGGTGAGTCTTATGTGTGATACTTATGTCGCAGTGCGTTGAATTGTTTTTGTCACTCCAGCTTGTTATCGAAGTCAATTACTAGTAATATCGTATAAGTTTCTAGAACTGTCCGTTGCTAGACAGCTCAGCTTAGTTTATTGTCTAATAATGCCGCTAAATTTTAGGTACAACGTTATGAGTACTCGTCTTTTCTTCCTTTTCGTTATATTTTGATTTGATTTCTAGTTCGATGATTGAAAAGTTATATAAATTAGACTTAAATATTCTAAATGTATAACAAACATATCCATTAAGAATTTTTATTGTCCCCATCTGGTTTACGACTGAAAGGTCTTTTACAAAGCTATACATAAAACCAACAGATAGCCAGATGGGCTTACTGCAGTGACGTAAATAATCACAAATTAATAACAAAATGAAAAACCGCTCATTACGTAGATTTGCATAAATTACAGTTGCATATCTTCAGCCAGATAATGAAAATTACATTTGGCAAGTAAAATTATGAAAATCATTACCATAATATTTTTTAATGGTTTGAACACATGTAGTATTTAATCTTCTTGTAAAAAACAATACGTTTTCTAATTTTTATAAATATTATAATCTAGATCTAAACATAAATTAATTTCGAGTTTATTCTAGGTATAAGGCATCCGGAGGAGCTATCTCTCTGCTATCCACTGGAGCCATCGCACCTGAAACAAAACTACCAAAATCTTAAAGAGGCTAAACGGATAAAGTCCCCCCCTGACACGAATACATTTATAGCGGCCACGCGAGGCTCTTCAAACAGCTTGGATAGATCAAATGGGCCCTGTCCTTCCACACCGCCACCACCGAGGTCTTTGTCGGCTACTCCTGTGGCGTCACAACACGTGAGTATAGTCTGCCTACCACCAATACTATTAATTTATATGTTGTCCTTATTCTATTTAGTTTTAATATGAGGAAGTTTCAACGTTATTTATATTATATATAAATTAAAACATTGCTCCAAACCTTGAAACTCTTCCTTAAATTACCACCTTTGTTGTCTGGAAACTGGATACTCCAAAATCAGTGAGACGTAAATAAACAGCTACATGCTCGCATTGAATAGTATACTTTAATGAATGGACTTTAGGGCCGTACTTCTAATTCATTTAATGTTCAAGTAGTTCTGGAAGCGTGATTCATTTACCTTAAAACAAGATAGACGTCACGGTCTAACCACTGTACCTTAAACGAAAATCTAATAACTCGGGTGAGTCATTGTCTCTGTATGCGCCTTTAATTGGATCTTGGTTATTTCTGTATTACAAAAAAATATATATACTTTTTTCTTAATCTTTAATGTCAGTTTGGTGTGAAATCGCTTTTTAGTTATTTAGTTAACTGTAAGTAAATATGTAATTAGTTTAGAAAATATAATATTGCTAACCAATTCAATAATGAACAGTTATCTAGTCATTAAAATTGAGAAGAGTCACCTATATAAATTATTTAAAAAAATCATATAACCTATAATTTTAGAGTTGGTAGTCCATCTTTTTCTCCATTCGAAAAGTATGCTGGTTAAGGCTATTTGATCAACATCAGAAAATCAACTTATCATTGCAGTAGCATCTGTAAAAAATGTTCACCGAAAAATTTGTCGTAGAACGGTACACTACGTCGCTACGGTGGCCACATATACAGCACACAAAGCGATGGCTCCAGCGACGGTGGTTACTGTGGCACCCCGCCACGAGCCGCATCGCTGGACGCACTCGACTCGCTCGCTGACTTGTCGCTGGCTGATTCGCCGGTGGCACCAGAGAGCCAGTCTAGGGAGTCTCTTCTCACACCCAAATCACTCATGGAGAGAGCTAGGATGAACGTTGGGTGAGTTTCATATCATCCCAGAAGTTTTACTATAGCGCGGCCGCCAAACAGAGAAAAAATCGTACAATATCTCGCACAGATGCATCTAGCCAATTATGTCACTGTAAAGGGACCGAAATGTTCAAGATATCTATCAGTAAGTATAAAGGTAACTTATGAAATTATTTCTGTTCGGCGACTGTGCTATAGCCATGATCCCCGATTGGAAATATCTATGTCTATTATATCCATAGCAAAAGTGCACTCATCTGCTACGCACTGCATATTCTTCTGATTATAGCAACGCATTAGTGTTATCTTCATTACTCGTGAACTAGAAAACCGCTCTCCCCCCAGATGGTTGGATTCATCACTATCTATAATGGAGCAGTACGTCCGCGAATGGGACACGTTGCAATTGCGATTCAAGTTCTACTCGTTCTTCGATCTGACACCCCGCGCGCAAGATGCGTCCCGTCTTAATCAACTGTACCAACAGGCGCGCTGGCAGATCCTCAACCAGGAGGTGCACTGTACCGAGGAGGAGATGCTATTGTTCGCTGCACTACAGGTAACCATTGAAATCATCTGTTTTTGTGTCATGTATCAAGATCTTGGTTTGAACTAGTTTTCCTTCAGCGGCTTAGCCCGCGTGGCCCCTAGAGAACTGTTTTAACTTTTGCCTAGTACAAGTTGATTATTTCTGATTGTTAGATCTATTTAGTATGGCTTAAAATTTTCTACATATATTTTAGTTCCCTATATAAACTTCAACTCCTATTTTCATCTCTATTTGCAGTTTTTCGGGATAAAATATAGCCTATGTCAACCGCATCCGATGTAGCTTCCCTTAGTTAGGTGAAAGAATTTTCAAAATCCGTCCTGGATGATAACGAGACTATTTGTTGCAAACTAACAATCAAATCTGACCTCTTTTTAATATTAGTATTAGATAGATTAAAAGTTCATCAATTATTTTTTTTTAATTCACTTGTCGTTTTCATTCGTTATGTAGTTCTGATACGTACATGTTTTATCATAAATATTTTACATTATTGATTTGGTAAACGCTTTATTATGCTCATTATTTTTTATAATAAAGATCTTATTTCACAGCTTCAAATAGAGCTACAAACTCTTGCGGGGGGCAGCGTGGATGCGGCCGACGGGTCACACAATAATTCCAATACAGCAGCGCCGGAGGACGAAATAGAAGCTGCGCTCAGCGAATTGCAGGCGCAGCTGGAGGGGGGACCACCCGCCAGACACGATATCACACAAGTGCCTGAACTGGCCGGTTACCTGAAGTACCTCAGGTGAGGATACACATGGCAACACATCCCTCTACCCTACATATGTTCGCCCCGCTGGCATAGTTGGAGAGGTTCTACCTGTTAGAATGCCAACATATTATGAAACTTAAATAGGCGATATAATAAAATGCAATTGAAAGTGAATTTCCTAGATTATGCATTATTTGTTTCGTTATTATTTATGAGAAGTTTTCTCAATAAATTTTAGTAATCATTTATTTGTATTTTTCAAATTCGATGCTTTTGTATCAATACATTTTTAGTATTTATTTACTTTATACAATCGTGTCCTGTTTTTTATTTTACATATTATATAATTATATAGACTAGCCTATTAGAGAAATTACAATCCACCAATTATCAGTAAAATGGAATTGTTCTTTTTTATAGAAGATTATCTTCGCACATTAGTTACTACTCATTCATAAACTGGCTTATTACATAACATTCATTATACATAATATATTCATATTCATCTAACTGGATGTTTCTCTTCCATCTCGGGGTGCGGCGCAACGCAGCAAATGCCACAACGATTACTGTACCGCTGCGTAAGATGAAACGTTTTTACCCCTCAGACAACCTTATACTATCTCGCTCCAACCCATACTAACATGGCATGAGTGCGACAAAAATAGATTCACTATAATAATTGATTTCAACACACTTGTCGCCATATTTTTTTATAGTCAACATTTTACACTAATTTTATATTAACAAAAGTAGATTTCATTTTTGTTTATTTTTTATATTATTGTGATACCTAATTATATGTTAACCTAATAATACGTAGTGTAGTATACATGTATGGACGAGTTAAAAATGCATCTTTGTGCATTGATTTATTGAATCGTATCCTCGTTTGTAGTGAAACACAATTAAAATATACATATTCATACCATAACATTCCTGTAATTATATATAAACGATTTTCCAAATATAAAGCATATTATGTTCAAACTGAATCTTTAGCAGGATGCGGGATAGATAGAACTTTATTGTTGATTGAATAGTGTTGCCAAATAATTATTAACTTTATTTCCTTGTAAATATGTATGTTGTAAATTAACATGTTTTATATTAAATTAAACAATAATTTATATTGCATATAAAATTGTATTTATATCTATTATAATGTAAGTATGACCTTATTTATATCAATATCTATATATGGAAACGCCATTGTAGGGGGCTATGGGCTTAATTTAAAGTTCTTTAAAAGAACTGTAAATTCAGCCAGCATAATAACTCTCATGAAATTAAGATTATTTAAATTTGACAATATGTCAACTGTATAAGCGTTTAGGACCACAGAGATGCTTGCTCCATGCTCATATCGTCTGCTCTTTTACGTCGCCACTGCACGGGCTCAGGCTTTCTTTATGGATGGTTAAGGAAGTTGATGCTTCACACTAAATGTAGCAAAAAATTATATTTGAAAAAGAAAAACACTTGTGAGTGGTGGCATTTATTCGTTGTTTGGGAGATTGTATAATGATATAAAATGTTAAATACAAGACTATCATAAGACAAACGTCCAACGCTACTAATACACAAGAAGAGATTACAATACCTCATCTTCTCTTTCATATTATTAAAAAATTGAAATCTATGTTTAGCGAACAAAGCTTACTTTTTATCGCGTGGTAGTTAAGTGAGACTTGCTTTTGTTTCGATATTCTTGGAGTAAAACTCATGTGCAGTCGACAGCATGTCAGGTTAGACAAATATGTTGAATTTCTCTGCTTTATTTGAAACTTTATTAACTTTGAAAATAGAGTCTATTAAGAAATTTGACATATACAGGTGGTAACCTAACTATTAAGTATTGCGTGCTAAAGACAACTGTATTGATGAGAAGTTTGAAAGTATTTTACAAATATTGATTTCTATTATTAGGCCTAAACGGTTCACATTGAAGGCGTACAAGCGAGGTTGGGTGTCATGTCGCGATGGCGTTTTACGTATACACTCGTCACGTGACGCTGCCGCTAAGGGCGAAGCGCCTTCTTATGCAGTCGAATTGAGGGGAGCTGAGGTAAGACAAATTAAATTTAATTTTAAACAAGTTATATACATTTTTTATGAATGTAATTGAAACTTTGATTTTTTAATGTTATTATTACAGATACGTTAAAAACACATCAATTATTTCACAGGTAACACCTGATGCTCACCCAGCATCGGGAAGATATAGTATCAAGCTGGAAGTGCCTTCGGAAGATACTATGCACGAGATGTGGCTTAAATGCGAAAATGTAAGATTTCAAAAATAAACTGTATATTATATATATGCTAACATTCAGTGCCGGTTTTAGCACTACTAGCGCCCAGGGCGAAATTTCTTCGGCGCCCTCTAACTGCAATTCAATTACAATCAGTTACTACTACATACTACAAATCAGTTACTTGTCTATTTTTCGCCGACTCGGCCTAATTACTTGTAATTTTTCCTAAATTTAGGTAGATTGTTAAGTTGGAAACATTAGAATGGAACGTAGTGTTCAATCGGTTTAATTTCTCGGGAAGCCCTGACTTTCCGACCATACAGAAACAATGTGTTTTTCTATAATCGGGGATTCCCTAGATCTATCTCTTTTAATTTTTGACGAAGAAGAACACAATCAACAATTATCTTCTTGCTTGACATAAGTGGACGCTCTTAAAACAATTATTCGATTATTTTAAAACAAACAAACACAGTAATCAAACTTAATAAAATACATATCTTCATATTGGTAATCGGTATGTTGTTCTGTTTTACCATAATATAATATTTTTCTTGTTAAGTTTCCTTTCAATGCATGCTAAAAGTGAGGCAACTTGAAAATAAAAAAAAATCTTCAATGTTCTTTTTCGCCGACCCAGTAGGTCTTGTTCAATGAGCAAGGGAACTATAAGAGGGCGTCTATGGGAAATGAGGAAGTATTAGAAAAAAAAATTAGTTCCCAAAATCAAACTAGATGTCGCTACAGTATGTTCTTGATTTCTCCATGACAACCCTTCCAGTTTTCTTTCAAGTTTAAAAGTAAATTAGTTTTCAAAACTCAATTAACAACTCATATTCTATTTGTACTTTTTCGTATTGATATCTAAGTTTCGAACTTTTCAAATTTCAGTTTTTTAATATGTTAGTTAAAATGAACGGAAATGACTGTCTGTTGTTCCATTAGTTCCTGCAAAGATGAACTTTTGCTACAGTCGCCATCTAGGTGGAGGTATTTTTGTAGTGCTTTTGGTTTTTTAAAATGCTTCCTCATTATACAGAATCAGAAAGAAGCGCCGGACGAAAAAGGGGCGCCGCGGCTTGCGGCGCCCCTTTTCGTCCGGCGCCCCTGGGCGGTCGCCCAACCGCGCCCTACCCTAACGCCGCTACTGCTAACATTAATGTCAAATTTAAACGGTACAATGACTGTATAGCAAGCTGCGTTTAGGAGATCTACCAAATCAGACTATGAGCGAAAAGACTATTAATATTTATATTCTGGTCTTGTTTCAGTAACCTTAAGTCAAGTGCGTAAATTGTCTGATGGCGCTATTATATGATTCTCTTTCCCTCTTTATTATCACTATAGGGAAGGCCTTTGCCCAACAGTAGATACATTGAAGATGATAATAACCGTTTTGTGTTACGTCAGGAGGACCAGTACCAAAACATTCTGGACTCAGTGGTGTGTTACGGCTCTTTCCCTCTTTTTATCCCTATAGGGAAGGCCTTTGCCCAGCAGTAGATACATTGATAGTGATAAAAACCGTTTTGTGTTACGGCTCTTTCCCCTCTTTTTATCACTATAGGGAAGGCCTTTGCCCAGCAGTAGATACATTGAAGATGATAATAACCGTTTTGTGTTACGTCAGGAGGACCAGTACCAAAACATTCTGGACTCAGTGGTGGGTTACGGCTCTTTCCCTCTTTTTATCCCTATAGGGAAGGCCTTTGCCCAGCAGTAGATACATTGATGGTGATAAAAACCGTTTTGTGTTACGGCTCTTTCTCTCTTTCTATCCTTATAGGGAAGGCCTTTGCCCAGCAGTAGATACATTGATGGTGATAACCGTTTTAAGTTACGTCAGGAGGACCAGTACCAAAACATTGTGGACTCAGTGGTGGTTTACGGCTCTTTCCCTCTTTTTATCCCTATAGGGAAGGCCTTAGCTCGGGGGCGTAGTGGATAAGCGCCGCGTCCCGCGATCGTAGTCGTTAAGCAACTTTCGCAAGGGTCGGTCACGGGATGGGTGACCAAAAAATTATTATCTCGAGCTACTCCGTGCTTCGGAAGGCACGATAAGCCGTTGGTCCCGACTGCATTTGCAGTCGTTAATACCCTCCAATCCGCATTGGGCCAGCGTGGAGGGTCATGGCCCATCCTCCTTAACCATCCATAAGGAAGGCCTGAGCCCCTGCAGTGGGGACGTATAAGGGCTGGTGGTGGTGGTGGTGGTGAGGGAAGGCCTTTGCCCAGCAGTAGACACATTGAAGATGATAATAACCGTTTTGTGTTACGTCAGGAGGACCAGTACGCGGAATGGGTGGCGGCGTGTAGGCTGGGCGCACGCGGTCGCTCCCTCGCCGACGCGTCGTTCCAGACTGAGGCGAGCGCGGTGCGGACACTGCTCGCGTTACAGCGGCCTAAACCCGGCGCGGCCACCAACACCGCTCAACTGCCGCATCTCAACCAATTGAGACCAGAGAATTACCTGGCGCCACGCTTCCTCAAGAAACTCAAGGGAAAGGTGAGTGATGCCGTTGAGGCCTAATAGGAATCTCATCTGTATAATCAGAATTATTATATAAGCTTGTTTTAGTAGTATTACTATAAGATTTTCTTAATGAAAAATGCTAAAGTCCACTTTGTCCCCTGTTACTTTGAGATGGGATACGAATCCACGACCTTTCGCAATAAGAATTTTTCCTGCATTGTGATTGCAAAATTGATCTTAAATAACTTACGATAAGGTCAAAAATGATTATGTAACAGATAAGGGGTCCGTTCATAAATTACGTCACATGAAATCCATGTTTTTTTAAGCCTCCACCCTCTGTCACGGTTCCTGCTATTTTGATACATATTATATTTCAAAATCAGGTTGCTATTTATTCATATAGTTAATATTGGCCTGGTAATGAGACATGATTTTTGTAAATGTTGTTACATGTATTTCCTCTTCTGTTCATTTTATTGACGAGTTTCTTTTGTTCATTCTTATTATCAACCAAACGATGTCCTAAATGGATGTTAGATAAAAAAATATTGGACTATTCAAAAGAGCTTTTATTTAATTTATTTGAATAAAGATTACTTTGACTTTCTTTATTGTAAAATTACCTAATCGTTCATATAGAAATATATTATGTAATTTATTATTTTTACGCTAGATCTGATATTATTTTGCTTTTTTTGTGGACATTCATAACTTTTCTTAACGTGCTCTCACGTCTTTATTTCTCTTATTATAAAACGAGGACTAAAGTTAGTACTTTATTTAAACCATTGACCGCTTAAAGCAAATAGACAATGACAGAAGAGATAACCTCAAATGGAGACGTGTTGACTTATTTTTGGTCGGATAGTTTATACCTGGTACTAAAGTTAGTTCTTGTATAATAAGATAAGGTTTTAATATTTAGTATTGATCAAGTTTCAATATTTAGTAATGTAAATATCATTTAACTTATCAGCCAGTCGCACAAACATCCATTAAAATTTTCATTAGTTTAAAGTGACATTACCGATACACATTGTCAAATTTGTACAAAGTGACATTACCGATACAAATTGTAAATTGTCCATTAGAGCTTAAAGGCGTCATTAAGCCTAAATGGGCGTTTGTGCAACTCACCGTAGTCTCTAAAATGTTCCTAATGATAACTATTCCACTTGTATTGGAAAAAAAAAAGACTTTATCATTAATTAAACTTTCTTTTAAACCAGTTCACTCAACGCTTACTGGAGAGTCATGCGAACGTGAAAGACTTACCTCTCTTGGAGGCGAAGCTGCAGTATATAAAAACATGGCAGAATCTGCCGGACTATGGTCAGTCTCTCTTCGTGGTCAGGTTCATGGGCCATCGCAAGGATGAGATAATCAGCATCGCCAACAACCGTATCATGCGACTCGACCCTAACACTGGCGACCATATCAAGACATGGCGGTTTAGTACTATGAAGGTGATTTATACTAATATTATTTATAAATTATAAAGCTTGTATTTTTCAACGTCGCAGCGGATCGTCATGGTATTATTTTTGTGTGCAGACAAGTCCCACGGGCTAGTTTTTGTCGTGAAAATTCATTATGTTGTGTTTCCCTTTGACCACGCGGACGTATTCAACAGACAACTGCTAGTTTGAGAGAAGTTCACAAAACGTACAATTTCCAAGTTTCTCATTTTTAACTTAACTTCTAATTGAATTATAGTTTAAAATCGAGATAATTAATCCTGAGCATTCCTCTACTTGGTCTTCTCTTTTCCTATATTATTTTATACCATACTTTACATAACAAAGAATGATATTTTCCAGGCATGGAATGTGAACTGGGAAATAAAGCACATGATGGTGCAATTCGAAGAGGGCAATATCATATTTTCCGTGCAGTCTGCAGATTGTAAAGTGGTGCACGAGTTCATTGGAGGTTACATATTTCTTTCAATGAGGTCAAAGGATGCAAATCAACAATTGGACGAAGAATCATTCCACAAACTCACAGGAGGATGGACGTAAGACGTACTATTTTAACGAGGCGCAGTATATGTGTAACCATTCTTGACGTTTGGGACAGTGGACTTGTTTATTTATAAAATGAAATTTATCAATGAAAAATATTACATACATACTATATAGATCAAACTAGACAAAATTGGTATCAATATAAAAGCAAAACATCAAACTTAAACTATAAAAAATAACATGATTATACGGAGATGCGGGCAAGCTGATTCCCGCTTACTTTCGTTACAATAATTGACATTGAATACTAATGTCGTTTTTTAATGAAATAAATTATTAAAAACTCTGTTACGAGTATACTATACAGTGTTGTTTGTTAAAGAATTTTTGGTATAGATTTAGTGGATGATTGATCTGTTCAACTCTTATACTTTCGAATTGGAGTTATATTAATATTATTATAAATGAACTATATTTATAATTAAAAAATTATATGAAAAGGGCTTATGAAATGTGCCTTTACTACGTTTAGTAAAATGGTACTATTACGATAATAGGAAAGCGAAATTTTGTACATTCTATGATTCATGTCTTATGTCATTTATTTAGATTTTATAAAGGTAGTGCTTCCATAATATTTAGCAAATTAAAAAATGCCAAATAATAATTTTGACGCCGAAATGTTTCTCTATGGAAGCATTTCTATAGAGAAAAATTACTTCAATTAATTATCTAATCGAAATTAGCGAATGTGTCAAAATTGTTGGTATGAGCTTTTATAGATATAACATATAAGTTTTTAAGTTATTTTATCATGTCTATGGTTGATAATATGTAATTTTACGTTTTGTAATATGTAATCAATAAATAAGTGCCATTAATGATAATATTGCACTCGATGGTGCTTTAAAATGGAGTAAATAATTATATAGGACCTTAAAGAGTGGCCTTAAAATTTTATATTAAGAATTATTTTCCGATTTTTCCTTCACATATATGTAAATAATATTAAATAATATGCATGTTAAGTTTAAGAATACATATGTTAACAAATAAATTACTATTGAATCATCTCACTTCATAAAAATATTTGTTGTTAACATTAATTCAAAGTTTTAATTTTATTATTGTGGACTCCTAGTCGTAACGAAGTTACGCATTAAATGCTTTCACATTTATTACAATTCAATGGACAAGTATTAACTAATTTGCCTTGTTATTTTAAGACTACATAATGTATGTAAACTGTAATTTGTCTGTATGTGAATGCAAGTTAGAATAAATGTAAATGAATAACCAATTAAACATGCTTTTTATTTGAGTACTTACAGTTTTATCTCACATTCGAACAATTCAGTCTTAATTTTTTTAAAAATAAACAATTGAATAATACATTTCCTTAACTAATCGATATATTTGCCAAAACTATACAACTTGATAAAAAATTTACTCATTATAAAAAGGGTCCTATATTTTGTGAGCTGACCCTTTTGGACTCATTTTTTTCGTAACTTATGACTAGGTTGATATTTTAGACCCTTGCCTAAGACTCGAGACACTTGAAGGACAAAAGTCGCCGAAGACTAAGACTGCATATTTCGCGACTCGCATTTCCAGTCCACTAAAGCTATGTTTTAATTTTTTGCAGTTTAAGACTTTGGTTTTATCATAGCACGGTCTGAGCCTATGTGTCAACTGAACTTTGAATAGTTTTGTCAATTGTAGACAATCGAGATTTGACTTTCGTCCAAGAGGTTGCTCCTATTTACGGAATCCTCATGGATTGTTGTATGATCTTAATTCTTATTTGTCAATAGCGAAAGGTTTATGTAGTAGTAATCCTTTATAGTTCTCGCATTAGGTCATACATTCATAAGCGATCTCACTTGACGTCTTGTCCTTCACCTGAGCTGGTCTTTTATTATAAAAAAAAACTATCATAGATTAGCATAAATATTTAAGTAACGGTTGTGGTATTGCGATTCTTCAGGATGCAGCGGCGGTAAACTCAAGACTAAAGTGCAGGAACCTGCGACATCGTTCACTTTCATTACAGTGTTGGATTCTGACCATAACAACCTAGGGCGTTCATTGGCATTGGTACCGGTGTACTCTTCCACAGCTAAATTGTCAGCTTGTCCACACATAGTTCTTGTGAACACTATAAGTCGTGTACCTGTAAATATATTTGTTCCATTGTATGACAACTGTTCGACAATGTACAAAACTGTACAAGACTCAAACTCATTAACAAAGTAAACGAAAAAATAAAACTTGTTACCTAGATGACAAATTGTAGCAGGTGGATTAGTAAAATAAGTAATCATCTCCAACTTGGTATCAATATTTGGCCTAAATCTATGAAAATGACTGAAGTAATTTTGAGTGCAGTAAATGTAATTATTGAATGAGACCATACAACTTGTTCGAAAATCTGTATCAATGACCATACTCCATCTGTCAGTTTGTTCAAATTCATCATATCTGTATATATTCTTGTGTCCAGCTGCATAGACTACAGTGTTGTGTGTACAAATGGCTGGATTCTGGATTGTGTCGGGTAATTTTGCGATTTTTCTATAAGTTCTTTGTTTCAAATCATATACAACTGCTGTATCTAAGACTACCCTGTGAAATGATAAATCAATCGGTTATAACTTTGGTAAGATGAATTTTTTCGAAATAGGTATATCAACAGTTTTTAAAAGTATTTATTTCTTAGTCTTGTGGAACCTATGTACTAAGTGTAATAGTGCAAATTTCCTTGATGTTCAAAGCCAAGCTCAAATAACATTAAATTAAAAATAAGATATTTTAATGATGGATAAGGTCAGTCAGCATAAGTTGACTTCATCTACATATGAGACAGAAAGATGATCTAAAACTCACAGCTATACCATTGGAGAAGGGTAGCGAAGGACAGAACTCAGTGGAAATTGTTAGAGGTACACTGAACTGAGAAAATTTGTAGGGTCCATTTTTAACTAGCGAAATTTATTCCAAGATGATGTACTCGAATAAAAGTTTATTATTATTATAAGGTCAGGATATGGACTGTGGTAAATTCTACTAAATATCCAACTCCTGAAATGCCCAATCTAGTATCATAATGAGTTATATGTACCAATACACTGGTGAAAAATATGTAGAAAGCCAGTTGTATAAATCTGCCTGCCTGTCTTAAAAATATTATCATTAACATTCTTCCCAAATATTATTTATTTGTATATTTAAAAAACCTATTATGACACTTTTTGGACATTTTGGGAATAGAATATTCTGAACTGAAAGTGTTGAAAGTCCTATTATGCTGTATTTTGACCACTGCAAGTAAGTTATAATAGGTCCTAAATTCTTTCTCAAGTACAATAATAAACATCTTCAAATTAATTTTATTAATTAATATTTCCTAATGTTCTGATACTTAAAGCTAGAACACAGACTGACCTAAACCCACCTACACCACCAACCAAATACATTTCATCACCAATCACAGTTACACCACCATGTCTCCTTGCTGGCAGCTCTACTCCATGATGAGTCCATTCTTTCCTTAATGTATCATAAACTTTAACATCCTTCATAAACACACCAGTTCCTTTGCCATGTTCACCGCACACAACAACCAGTCTAGTTGGCCCCCATTCCACAATACTCCAACCCCACAGATTTTTTTCAGCAACTTCTATCCACTTTTCAAAGCCTTTTTCTTCTGTATATGTGTACATATAGTGTGGTATTACTTCTGGCTTTGTATTCTGAAATTTAATAATACAAACTATTCATGAATGTTTCAAAATAAGCAATTGGACTATTCTAGCACTTGCAAAAAAAGGATAACAAAACTTTTGAAAATAGGACTTTTGATATTGTAATATTATGACTAATGATATGATGTTCTTTAAAACTCACAAACAATTAAATGAATAAAAAACCTTATGTGAGAAGTTCTAAAACTAAGAGTTAAAATACCATTAAGTACTAAAATACTTTTTGAATACTGGAATTTCATAATGATCATCTTCAGCTGAGCACAGGTTCCCTCCTCCCATTGACAGATTGAATTTTATTGGTACTTATTAATAAATGCTTCTTATTTTTTGAACCAACCTATCATTCCCGTATTAATATTTCCCTCACCCATTGACCAATTGGATTTTATTGGTACTTATTAATAAATGCTTCTTATTTTATGAACCAACCTATCATTCCCATATTAATATACTGAACATTTCTATCCTATTTAAAAATAAAGTTGACAACTTCATTCAACTTTTGAAAATGGGAACTTGCAAATTGATTACATTTGATTCAACCTCATGTATTGGTACATATGTTTTTAATAATACAGAGTGCAATTTGATTTATTCCAATACAATCTTATGGGGTAGGCTAGTTCTTCTTCGCTGGGTAGTTTTTATTTTCTCAATAAAAATTTGCATCACTTATTTTGTAATGAAGTACACATATTAAGAAATTTTTTACAACATACCTTTACCATCCAAACAGGTACTGATGGAATATATCTCAGTTCTCTACTTCTACTTTCTTTCATTAAATTGAACACCTCATTATAAACTCTCTCTGTAAACATTTCACATAAAGTAGGCTTTTGCTTTATAAGTACTGGTGTTGTCAATTCATAATCTCCAACTGACAGTTCATAGATACAGTCAACTACTTTAGAAGCAAGACTGTTGGTGTAGTCAGCTACCAAGATCTTAATCTCCTTCAAATCTGGAGTAGTAAGCCTTTGAATATCTAAACAACATAATACTAGCAATACTGCATCAGCCCCAGTCTCTGTATTTGAAACCCATTGTAATCCAAATTTGAATACTTCTAATTCATTAGGTGCATCTAAGAATGGATGTGATAAGTACCAATAAAGTTTCTTAATTGATGGCACATATTCTGGTCTCATCTCTTTAAAGGAAAGCAAGCCGAAAGCAGCAGATAACTGCTCCAGTCTCGTATATGATGATGATTCTGCAATAGTCATGGTTTGCATCCAGTTCGATAAAGATAGCTGAAGATCTAAGCAATACTCTATTTGTTTTATGAGTTCAGGTAGTTGGAGGTAATTTGCAGCAACTGATAGATCTGCTATGACACTGAGTGTATATTCTGATAAATCTATCAGACCATTATTCATATACTGAATAATTATTTTCATTGAATTAGCATCTACAACCTGCAAGTTGTATATTAAAATAAAATTGAACTTTCTTTAAAACTCTTTTTAAGAAAATAAAAATGAACTTTCTTTTTTTGAAGAACCTACATTATAGAGTCAGATAAGTACAAGAAAAACCTATTACATATTGATTAGTTTGTATAATAAATATTACATAAGTGTAACAAATTCAAACAAATTAAAAATTTGTAAGATAGTGAATTAAAAGATTCTTTAAGTAACAAAATATGAAGGTAGAATAAACAAATGCTAAAAAATAAGCTAACAGTTTTTACTATTGTAATAAACGTTATTACATTTTTTAAGGCTGATACTTACATCAATTTTAATATCTCGTTTATCGTTTTCAACATAATTCCCGCTAAACATTGCGCGGAAATAATCACTATGTTCACAAAGAATTTCTTTTTTTACTTTAAATATATGATTATCTATGTGTAACGAAACTTCTTCCATGATGATTTTCTTGATTAAAACTAGATGATTTTTATAGTAAATATAAATTAAATTACCGTTATGCCGATAGTTACGAAATAAAACTTAACATTCAAAGGTATCACAAAAAGAAATAAAAGGTATCAAACATTAACTTTTGAAATAAATTTACAAATACACACACAAAGTAATAAACTATCACACCGTACCACACAGTACAGAAAAAAAAATATCTATGTCTAATGCCGCGACCGCACGTTTGGCACTTGCCGCAAACTCCAAACCTCTGCAAAGTTTGGCTTGATTTAGGAAATTAAACATCGCCATCCACACGCTTGCGAGTGATTTAGTGTGTTCTGAAGAGCCAAGCATAACGGACGTGATGGATAATGAGGTTATATCGACCATAACATTTGGTTTAATTTATTTTTGCATTATCCTGCCTGGTAAAGTTTCTGAAAATTTAAAATCTCCACTTGACCAGTCACTCATGTTTTTACACAATACAAGCGTACATCTACTCACCACCAGCACACAAACGATACTGAATACGCGCAAACGTGTGGACGCGACGCAAGCGTTGGCACAAACTTCCTTTGATTTGTGAAAAAAAAACCGACATTCGATCGGATCGACTACAAACGCTTACAAGTCAACACAAACCAAGGCAAACACTTTATGTTTGAGTTTGCTGCGGCTTGTTGAGGTTTGGCAAGCGTGCGGACGCGGCATTAGAGATTCTTGATCGAATTTATATTGTATTGATTTAAAAAAAAAACGAATGCACTAAAAAGCACTAGATGGCGACTCTGGTAAAAGTTGATTTTTGCAGGAAACGAATGGACCAAAGACAGTAATTTCTGTTCCTTTTAACTAACATATTAAAAAACTAAAATTTGAGTAGTTCGAAACTTATATATCAATACAAATACGAAAAAGTAAAAATAGAATATGAGTTGTTTATTGAATTTTGAAAACTAATTCACTTTTAAACATTAAAGAAATCCGGAAAGGTTGTCATGGAGAAATGAAGAACGTACCGTAGCGACATCTAGTTTGATTTCGGGAACTAATGTAATTATTTTAATACTTCTCATTCATTGACACTGAACTGACACTGACAGTGACAGACGGTTTAGGAGCGAACCTGTTGATACGAGTTTGTTTGTTGTTGATTTCTTCAATTTTGTAATACCTACGTGAATATTTAATGATTTATTAGATTTGTTGGTGTGGGAGATAAACATGGCGGCTACAGCTTCTGCTGCCACTGCTACCGTTGAAGAAGATTTGGATGAATGTGGACCACAGCTGATTAGCAAATTAGAGGTTAAATGAATAATGTTAAAAATGTGTCTTTATGTTATGCACATCCATAAAAATATTTAGTATGTAAAATTATACAGTACAAAGACGTTATATTATCTATTCCAGGGTAATGGTATTACATCTGGTGATATAAAAAAGTTGGAAGAAGCAGGATATCATACAGTAGAATCCGTCGCTTATGCTCCTAAAAAATGGCTTATTACAATAAAAGGTATATCAGAAGCAAAAGCTGACAAAATATTAGCTGAAGCTTCAAAACTTGTTCCAATGGGTTTCACCACAGCTACTGAATTTCACCAAAAAAGGTATATTTAATAATGTCTGGAAACTGCTTCTTTATACTAAATTTAACCAACATAAATATACTTATAGACATAAAAACCTATAATACTTATTTAAAAACTTACAGAGCTGAAATAATTCAACTGACAACTGGTTCTAAGGAATTAGATAGATTACTTGGAGGTGGTATTGAAACAGGGTCAATTACAGAAATATTTGGTGAATTTAGAACAGGCAAAACACAGCTATGTCACACATTAGCTGTGACATGTCAGGTATATTATTGCAAAACAGTGGGGTATGGACTGTCTTTAACAGCAGTCTGCAAATGATTTAGTAAAGGTTTTGAATACCTATTATTTAAGGTCTGAAAAGTCAATGCTTGAGGGGGGTGGCAGGTTGTAACATACTCTAGTTAAGATAGTTCTTGCTTATGATCACAAAAATGATTTATTCTTTGAAAAAAACTGCATAAAAATATCTATATTGTCTAAAGTAATAAAAAAAAAAATAGAACTTAAGGAATGTTTTATTTTTCCTCTATACAACATATATCAAGGGTTGGAGTCCCATCTCAGAGTGCCAGGGACAAAGTGGATTTTGATGCTTAAATTCATTAAGAATATTTTTCATAATGCAAAATTAATCTAATATTATAACTATACAACAGTCCAAATGTGCTGCTTACAGTTTTGTAAGGAAAAAGGTGCACAATGATCCTGTTTGGCACATTAAATTACTTAAATATTATATTTGCATAGAATAATATATTAAAATTATGGTCTGTTTGTTGCCAACCCCTAGCTTATAATTAAAATAATTGCTTGGTCCAGTCTAATTTTTTTTTACTTCTCTTGTTGCCAGTTGCCCATTGAACAATCAGGTGGAGAAGGAAAATGCATGTATATAGACACAGAAGGTACATTTCGTCCGGAGAGATTGCTGGCTGTTGCTCAACGCTATGGTATGGAGGGGGCTGCTGTATTAGATAATGTTGCATACGCACGAGCTTACAATACTGACCATCAGACACAGCTGCTAGTACAGGCCTGTGCGATGATGGCAGAGTCAAGGTTACTTATATACTTTTACTCTTAAAGATATTTACTTTCTAGTATGGATATTTATATAGTTTTAATAATACTGTAGTGCCTACTAAATTGAATCTATGGTTTCTAGCTAGAGAACAATAGGTATATGCCATACAGGAAAACTGAGCTATAGTATCGTAGCTGGACAGAGAAAATTTCGTATGTCGACCTATGCACTTACTGATAGATATCGTAATGTTTTGAGGTTCACTTTAATGTGAAAAATGGTATAGACGCTCTGTGCGAGACTGCGAGTGCAATAGCAATATATTTGCGTCAGAGTGAGAGAGATAGGTAGTGCCAGCCCTACGATTATGTAAAAATCCAAACCAAAATACGAATTCACTCATGTGTCCAAATTCACCTCATTTAGTGTAGAAATTCTATTGATGCCACTTTGCAAAAATACAAAACAAGATTGATTGAATATACGTGTCTCAGATATTCTATTCTTATATCATTTTGAAACTCACTTCACTTATGCCACAAGACGTTATTACCATTCTGGTTTTTGAAATCAATTCAGATATCTGAATGAATTCAAATTCAGGTTTGGATTTTTACTGAATCGTGGGCTGGTAATTGTACGAAATTATTTCTATTCAGCGACCGTGCTACAAGAGATCAGCAGGCCAATTGTGGTAATGTTTACATAATAATAGCATCTCGATAGAATCTCAGCTGCTTACATTTTGCCATTGTACTATCTACCTGAAGCCCAATATTATTCTATATCTATTACCATTGATGTGTGAGGAAGACATTGCATTAATAATATTGGATTTTAGGTAGATAGTACAATGTTAAAATACAAGTTGTTTTGATTCTATTGAGACGGGATTATTACGTAAACATTAGCAGAATTGCGATCGATCAACATTGCAATTGTGCTTTTTCGTACTCTTGATTGGTTATATTAGCGCCAGAGTATGCTAGTGAACTAATCAAGAGTGCGGAGCGGTTAGCAACTGAGTATGTTACAAATTACAAAAAAGGCTTTAAACAAATTATGGCATCCAATCAGAGACTATAATGCTACAAAGTAAAAATCCAATTGATGTTCATTTTGTGTTTAAAATATACAAATGTACAAATACTTTATCTTGGTTAATAACCCTAAATCTTAACTTAAATATTTATACTAAAATTATTATTCCATATTTCAGTTTAACGATAAACTATTTAAAACACTTTATTCCATCGTAGGTATTCTTTAATAATAGTGGACAGTGCTACGGCGTTGTATCGCACAGACTATTCTGGCCGTGGCGAACTTAATCCACGCCAACAACACCTCGGCAGGTTTATGAGGATGCTTCTGCGGCTTGCGGATGAGGTGCATACACTATATATTATTAGCTATAATTAATTAATTTTACCATTAATTTTTATAAATAGTATGATTACAAGAAATGTTGAATATTAATTATTTTAACGAATAAAAACATATTCACTAATAAATCATCTCAATGAAGGCCACTTATTTAATTTTTAAATGTGTGGAAACTACGTTTTTGCATAGTAATAGTAAAAAGAATAAATTTAGTTGTTTAAACAGCTTTGTCTGTCATCAAACAGCATAAGTCCATTTAAAAATTGTGTATTTCGTCGTCTTTCATCTAGCTACTTGAATATTTTGTTGGATACTACGAGTACCATAACATTTTGTGAAATAATATATATTTGTGATGAAATAAATAAAATGATATTTATTTTCATTTTACAGTTCGGCGTAGCAGTGATAATAACAAACCAAGTAGTAGCACAAGTGGATTCCGTAGGAGTATTTAATGCGGACACTAAGAAACCGATCGGAGGTCATATCATGGCGCATGCGTCGACAACAAGACTATATTTAAGGAAAGGGAGAGGGGATAACAGAGTGTGCAAGATATACGACAGTCCTTGTCTGCCAGAAACTGAAGCTATGTTTGCGATAAGCAATGAGGGCATTACTGATGCTAAAGAATAGATGGTCAAACTTCATTGACTGGATAAATTAATGATGTTCAAGTTGATATTAAGATGAAGCTAGGAGCAGTGGAGAACATAAGCAGTCAAGGATGAGGCACAAATAAATGAACTTGACAAAATATTAAGAAAGAAAACAAATTGAGTTGATGCTGCAAGTCTTCACAGGTTTCACAAGGCAAAAAAAAATTAGTTTTATGAAACTGCTATCAGTTGATCATTAAAAAAAGAACTAAAATCAGAAACGAAAACCTGTTTAAGTACAGTTTGAGAAATGTTAAACTTTAAATTTTCAATTCAGAATTCGGGCGATAATCTAGCTATGCGTCAATACAGAGAAACGGATCAGTTTCGGATGTCCCTTCTTTTTTAAACGCTTATAACCATCAGCGGTACATTCGAAGCGAACTACTATTACTACTATTGTTGACGGGTAACATTTTTTATTTTTAGTACATCACAAAAGTAATGTGAATCTGAAATTATATTTCCTGTAGAATAATCGTCGACCACACCTACGAAAATTTTGTGCACTGGTAAAAGAATCTTTAGTCTACCCGTTAATTTGCCGGGACGACAATGACACGTGTGAATCACACCTTAACATTGCTCCATGTTTCAATGTTTGTTTTTATTGTAAGTCGAATATTGTAAATAAATAATCGAGTATAATACTTATTTTTAAATAAAAAATGTAAGGAATATATTCAGTCTTTCAATTATGTACTCCAAATATAAACACAGTAGCAGGTGAAACTATCAAATTGTCTTTCCGTTATTCTATTAAAAACTCGCTGGCGTCATATTCGTCTCACTACAAGTTGAAAATCAAATTGCATGTCATCATAGTATATAATCACAATAATAAGTTAAGCAGCTGAAATGTGGATTTATTATTGCCTTAAGACGCAGTACAAATGTTCATGATACCAATGTTTAAATAAAAAGCTTGTGAAATATTTAGCAAATCATTTATTCTGATTACACTCGTAGAACAAGCCCAATTTAGTTACATTTTCTTGTTTTTTTTTTTTGATAAATAATCGATGAATATAGAATACATATTCACTATATAAGGAATGTTCTTAGCTTATTACAGTTTTATACTTATATACCTGCTGAAGTACATTTGAATTTTAAGCGAAAACTATATTTTGCTAGTTCTACAAGACACTATTAATATTATAATATTTCTAAACCCCTTATAAAAATAAATAATTATTAAGGACAATTATCATTATGGGTAGACATAACAACATGTTTTATGAATTAATTAAGTATACACATATCTGTATCATAAGAAATGTTATTGTATTTATATTTATATATGAAAAAATAAACTATTAACTCATTCTTTAAAAAAAACACTGGTATTAAAAATAAATATTAATCAACATAATAAATATTACATATTTCATTTAGACACTTTAGGTGTCAATTTTTATATCTACTTCTACATTTAGTCAAATCCACACGAAGACTATCACCCGGCTTCTGAATTGAGAATTTAAAGTTAAGCACGTCTCAAACAGTATTTAAACTATCTAAAACGTCATCTAAACAGGTTTCCGTTGCTGATTTTTATTTTTTAAGCGATCAGTTGATGGCAATTCGATAAAACTAGGACTTTGCCTTAAACTTAAGTTATTGAGATTTTTTTCAATTCAGAAACCGACCATATGTATACTAGACAAGCTGTTATGAACTAAAATTGTGATACAATACGAGCGCGCACGGGCACAAGGAGTAAGCGAGACCGCAATGCAGTCAACCGAACAATGTAGTTGTCTTGACACCACAACGTAGCGGTTAATTCTCCAGAATCTAAAAGCTTGCCTTGTAGTATACATAGAAGTTTTTATATCCACACCATACTTATGAATCTATGTCAGCAATGGGAGATGGCCGCACTTAATTTTTTTTTAAAGGATGCTAGTATATTACTCATAGAAGGTAAAAACAATTCTCTGCTCTCGAGTAATTAATTGTATTGTCTTAACTGATCAGCTAAGAACACACTGAAAGAAAATCGTAGGAAAATTAAAAATATATTAACATTAACGAAATCAAAGATTTTTGCTGTGGTAGAAATGTGTGCATTATTTTGTGGAGATAAGTCAATATGCTAGCATGTTTGTAGAATTTAGAAAAACTTTAGTGATAAACCAAGTCCCATTGAGATCGCACTGAAAATATACATAAGAGTACATAACTCAATTCAATGGACGAGCGTACCTTGAGTGCGTATCAAATTGAAGAGAAAAATTAAAAGCTTTCAATAAGATAATTTTAATAATGAATATATTTTTATTTACATTTCTTTTCAAATTACGAGGAAAGAAGCAAGAAGTCAAACTAAGTAATAAAGTTATCAATAAATATTAAAACTGACTTTCAATAATGCGAGCTAAAGAAATAGTCCTTAATACGCGTAACTTTTTAGACATTATCACCGATCACCACAATTTATGTTACAGTTACGATACAATTAAGGAGCGGCCAAATGAATGTACACGTAATGAATTAGTTATTTTTTCTTTCCACCTCTGGAGTTTGGCCGTCAGATTACAATGTTTCCCTTTTTATTATCTATTTAGTTATGGAAAATTTGTTGCCTAATTTTAAAATCAGTCCCTTTGCTACAACGTGTGATACAATCGCTCTTGGAACGGAAAATGCTATGAATGATATAAATGTCATAGACAATTCCAATTAACGTCAAATAAACGTTATAGATCATTCAATATCTTTCCAAAAACAACGCTATCGCATGTCAAATAGTTAGAGCGCGAAGTTACTAAAATATCTTTCAATTTCAAAGTAATTGTTATAGATTTTCTAATTACACAATTAAACTACTGGTTTGTGTCATGATTACTGTAGATGTGAAATGAGTACCTATAGAATATTATAGTATGTATTAGATTTTAATAGGGGCATATAAACTCCAGACTGGAATAAACGACTCACAATTTATTGAATTGTGTTCGTCTGGCCTCTACTCAAGTTCGTTGACACATAAACAATATATAATCACATCCCAATTAAAATTACAAAATAAATAATTATTTAAGTTTTATTTCTGTGTATGTCACCGTAAAATTGTCAATATCATCAGTTTATTATTTGTCTGGTCATATTATAAACTATCCTAGGTTTAGGCAGGGCCGTCCCGTCCATATAGGCAAACTAGGCAACTGCCTAGGGCATTCGCATTTCTTTATTTTTATTCGCTCGGGGTGGCACAGCATGGCAAACAGATTATGATTGCTTTAATTATAAGAACCTAACAAAAACCAGATCAGCAGTTTGTCATTGACAAAATCAAACTCTTTATTTGGTGTACCCACTACATTAGTCTTTTTTTTGTTGTGATTATTTGTAGGCGTCGGTCTGTTGCCTAGGGCGCCAATTTTACGATGACATTTACATAGCAGCAAGTCAGGTTACCACAATGACATATTTTCAAAGTTGATTTTGAACACTACATTTCATCCGTTAAAGTTTAAAACCAAGTGGAAAATTTTGAGTTATGTATAACCTAACAAGCTGTCGACTGAACCATTTCGAATATTTTGCTCAAAGACATTTACAATAAGGTTTTGAAGTTTTAATGGACAGAGTTAATGCTATTCTTAATAATTACTTATATTATGAAAGACTGAAAAAGGCCGGTATTCATCAAACCATGTAATATGTGACATATATGATACTATATCAAGTGAGTTCGTAAGCGCAAACCTGCTGCGAGCAAGTCGCGTACAGAGCGTGGTGAACTAGCAGTTACGACGAAAGGCGGTCCGCCACTTGAAGGTTGTAAATACTTTACATGTTACATGGTTAGGCGAGGGTACTCACTAACGCCAGAATGACATGTTATTGGAAGTGGGTAAAATAAATAAAGAATAGAATGCTAATAGGAAGCAATAACGTAGAAAAATGGAAGTTTTTGGGAGTTTAATACGCACTTGATAAAGTCAATATTCTTTAGAGCAAAATTATAAGTAGTGTGCTCGGCCAAATTTTTATAGCTAGTTAGCTCAGCACAGATAAATAAAAATATGAGAACACAGGAATTTCTAATTATTGCGACAGACGACTATACTGTTGTCTTCTAAGATGTAATCTATTTATCTACATACCTAGGTATATTATAAATTATAAACATAGGTATATTTTTACTCGAATAAAAAATGGTTAAAAACCTGCTTTAAGAATTATATTTAGGCAATGATGGCAGACAGATTTCTTTTAATTATATCAACTTACAGCGTAAAAATTTACAGTGTACGTTGGTACACTGAAAGTTTTTACGTTGCATCTTTGAAGTTGCATTGCTAATGAGATTATTGCTGATATTGAGAATAACACCGTAAATGTGAAAGCAATATTTCAAAGATATTCATTGTCGGCATCGATGATGATTGGTAAACATTACTGTGATTACATAATTATACTAATTCGAACAAAGAATCAATTCGGTAAGAAATATTGAAGTATCCGTTTCCTGTAGCTTTGTTTACATTTATTGAAGGTTAAAGAAGAATCGGCAGTATTTCGTGATTAAAAAAGTACTTCAATCATGGCACTACAAACTAACAAATCAAAAACCCCTAGCTAAAGATTTTACTAAACACGTTCGTTATATCACTAACTAGTGTCACTAACGCTAAGAACTCTAAGCGATTTCCACCCTCGCCTGACGCGAGTGGGCGATGTGAAATTAATAAACGAATGTTTGGTAAACATCACAATATTGTTCAGATCCCAATTATGTAACTTTTACCACCACCACCTCTTGCATTATACTTAAAAACGAAGGTACCACAACACCCAAACCCGATATAATATAAAACAAAGCTTCTTCCCGCTGACTGTACACAGAGATCTTTGAAACTTTACAATGGATTTAATACGGTTTTCGGCAGAGTGACCCAAGAGGAAGATTTAAAGTATAAAACATGACATGATGCCGGCGGCCGCGGCACAACAAAAAATTACGGTCTTGTGTTTTAAAATGGGTAAAAATCACTCTATGAGTTCTTAGTCTTAGGGGATGTATGTTTTCTGATCCGCTTACACCAGAGTTGCCACCCATCCTGAACTTTCAAGGGTACTCCCGATTTTAATAATGTTGCCCCGCGTACAGATTTCTTATAAATTTTCGACTTTTTAAAAACTTTGGACAATCGCTCAATACACATCTTAAGTCCCCGCGATAAAATCCGCATCGTAATCCCCCCTGTCCCTGCCGTGCCTAAACTATTCGACTACCAAATTCGAACTAAAAGATAAAAAAAAACTCCATCAGGCGGGCCTAGTTATAAAATAAAAAATATGCAAAAACAAAATTCCGACCGAAGTGTGATTACATCCGATGACAGTCCGAATGTCCCTAATTTTTTCGCAAAAGGTGGCGACCCTGGTTTACACCCTCGCAGTTATCATTGTCACAGTACAATTGTAAATTTCCTCAGTTTACAATCTATCTGTTCTAAACTATTTTAGGCTTAGGTTAGATTATAATTATTCTAGTTTTAATAAATTGAAGATGCTTACATTTTTGCGTTGACATACAACTGCAAATCAAAATTAATCAAAGATATGCTTCAGATATTTTAAATATTGTTTATAGTAATGTTGTTTTATACAGAAGAGCGAGGCAATTAGCGAATGTGATGCCCAAGTACTGAAATCGTGTTGATCTTTCACATGAAGATGTACGTAGATTAAGGCACATCGCGATCTTTTCATTATGCAAAGTAATATTATCCTCTATTAATACTACAATATACTTCAATGTTGTAAAAACAACTATTTCAATTATTGTGTATCCTTGAAGACGTCGTCGTGGTGTTAATCCATTTAAGAGTATTTTAGGTTTGTAAATAGACTGGGAGCTCTTACAAAAATTTGCCAAAAAAAAAATTAGACCTTTATTAGGTGTAACAGAAATATTCAGCAATCGCTAGAAGGTTGTTTCACACCGCCGCCATCAAGTGTTCCAGCACTCGGGGACCGCCTAACAATCTCGCTATAACTCTAGCCATAGCTTAAAGATTTCAAACGTTCTATTCTATCAATGAATATGTTAATATTATTATACAATGATCTTGTTTTATTATTACCGATTTAATTAATGCTTTTGGTTGTTTTAGTTTACTGAATTATTTAGACGAAATTTACTAAATGTTCAATTTACACATATTGTCAAATACCCTATTAATTAGTCACGTGACTCTTATCACGTGACGTAAAAATAATGCTTGTTTACTTGCTCATAAAGAGGATCGACCAAAATGCATTTGAAAATTCTTGTTAAGTCAAACAAAATTATCCATCATAATAAAGTAAGAATTATAAATTGTATCATGGAACTTGCTTTAAATTGTTGTAAACAATAATGTTGGTAGATGTATAGGCGATATTCTTGTAGATTACAATCCTAAGGCTCCTCGTCCAAGGCCATAGTTATTTTGGGACGTTGTTGTCCCATTTGAATAAATATTATGATACAAAACTTAATCACACAAATAAAAAATCTCACTTTTCTATAAGTGTTATGTTATGTTATGTTTGAAAGGAAAATAATTAAATTTTCCTTTTTTATTTGATTGGTCAAACTTATAATTTTACAATATAATTATACGCAATTACGTTTTAAGTACCAATTATTAATGAATTAATTCTTAATACAAATAAATTATTATTTTAGAACAGTAGTCAAACACGACGAACAAAGACAGTCAATGTATGAATATATTTAAATATTTCCTTCAGATTGACAGCAAAATCTACAGATTCAAACATACACAAGGCAAAGATCAAATTTCTATAAGTAATAGTTATTTAAACAAATAAAATAAAATTCAAATATACTATTTATTGCGTAATTGCATTTTTATATTTCATACTTATACTGTTAATTATTCCTTTATCCGATTGTAGAATTAGACCACCATAAGGCATTTTACTATTTGACCTTGACTTTGCCCCCTACTTTGTCATTATTAGCTTTGCCCAATTGCAAAGTATTATTTGCCCAAGTGTAAATTGTAGTATTTACCCTAATGTAGATATTTGCAGGTCTACAGTTTGGGTTCAGAGACACTAGTGCCCGGTGTTGTCACGCCACCTTCCATATCCAGCCGTTCGTGTTCACGGGCTACTAAAGCACGAAGTTCATCCTGTAGAAATAATAATTCATTGAATTTGAAACATTTATATGAGTGTGGCTCCCACCAAGGATGCGGAATCATGTCATATTGGTGCGATTTCTTTGATACCAATAGTGATGTTCCGTAGTCTTGATTAGATACACTAATACCAATTGGCTTAATATTGTGTGGTTATTGAAAAAACTAATTATCATTGATTGTATATGTTTCAATATTATGAGCTATGATTTGATGAAAGTTGAGATCGTTTATGGATTGTATTTAAATTGACATTGAGATTGCGTTCTACAAACCTGAAAAACAGTACCTCGCTCCTCAACTTTGATGCCTGTTATCTAAGCTATTTCTTGTTAAATTGAAGTAAAAAAAATACGTATCTAACATTTTTCTATTATCTATTTCTATTACTGACGGACTAAACAGATTTTTTTTTACCCAGTCGACATTCCTATTATCTAATTTGGTGTTGTTGTTTTCAAGTTATGCGCGTACATACATTTCGGCGATATATTTTTATTTATATAGATATAAAACAAACATAGCTGAAGTAGTATAATGATATATGATAATCAGAGGTCGGAATTAGGTAGAGTTATTTATGTACTTGCATCGAAATGTTGATATTAATGTGGACCTTCCCGGGATTTCTTTATTTCTTTCTTTCATTGATGTAATTTTGGCAACGTCGTGCGTGCAGTAGTTTAAATTGTGTAAAAGTAAATAACTTTTTATTTAAAAAATCACGGGATTTTTCTGCTCTTTAAAATTAATCTCGGGATTTGAGGCATATCCACTTTATTCTTTCGCTGTATGAAATCAGTGTAAGTACATGAATAACTCTACCTAATTCCGACCACCGATGATAATAAATGTAAGGTGTATCAAATAAAAAACCGTGATTGTGAAAAATGTTTAAGCAGGCTATAATCGATAAATTGTTAGAATTCAACAAACTCTAAAGTATTCGTATAATAAAGAAGAATTCTCTTTTTCTTTAGACTCACCCCCCAGCCGAGCCTGTCAGCTAGCACCTGGCACCCATCATCGCAGTCCCCCAAGAGAGCAACGTCTCTCGTGCTCTCTTCATCAAACTGTAGGCCACCTCCTAGACCCATCAACCGGAGAAGAGGAGACCGAACACCTGCCTTCTCGCGGTTTATTAGCAAGCGAGGACACCAGTCCGGCACCCTGTCGTACAAAAAAATAAAAATCTTACCAAAACACGAATAAAATCAACAGATCATCAGAAATTTGAAACAAATGAAATCATGACATTTCAAGGCCTGTGCTCCAGCACAGGAAACATTAATGATAATGATATAATTATAAATCAAGTAGAGAAATTTGACAGATTTGTACAACCTGACCTCAGCAGGTCATTGTACAGTACAACAGATTGTACTGTACAATGATATTCCCAATACAAGTTTAAAAATGCAACAAAGTAATACGTAACGCAATTTGACGGAACGGGTCTTGTAAATGTTACATTGGATGTGGGGTTCGTACATCGGCATCACGCAATATCGTTTTTTAATTGAATACAAAAAAGGACATAATATGAAAGTGAGTTTAAACCTATACTCAAGTTTTATGAAAGTGAGTTTAAACCGTAACGTCCTAAGAAGAGGGAGAATTGGATCAACAGCTGCATCGCTTATAAAAACTGTAATGCTGATTTGCTAGCGCAAATGTACCAAAAAATGCCAGCCAACGTTATATTGTTGGCGAAGCAATAGGTTTGGTCACTTGAGTGTTACTTTATGGAGGCGGAAGGAGGATCAAAAATCTTAAAAATTGTATAACGTAATGCTTGAAAAGCTCCGAATACTCACATGTCGACAAGTGAAGCAAACGGCTGCACTTCAAGAGATGAGCCCATGATTATGAGCATGTCACACTGTTGGAAGTCTTCTGGTAGACAGCGTTGGAAACGCTCTGGGAGGCTCTCACCAAAGAAAACAATGTCTGGCTTCACCACACCTGGACACTCAGTGCAGATTGGAATTTCATCAGCAAATATACGTTCTGTGAAATATTTCAATAAACTTACATATAAAAGAAAAGACATGTGTCATAGACGGCGTTACTAGCAATATAATATACAGGCTGAGTTTTTAAAAGTACACAAAAATTTTTTATAAAAAAAAAATTGCTTGCAAACTGCAGATAAACATTAATTGGCTATCAACTACCAAATATACTAAGGTGATAAGTAGCAATTTTTTGAAGACACCTTTTTTATTACTTAATCTCCGATGTTATGTCATATCTATTTTACAGTAACATAGACGATATAAAAATGTTGTGCAGTGAATATTATTTTATGTATATCTTACCTTTAACAAAGTCTAGAGTGTATTCTTTACGGCAATCTAAACAATGAGATGTAAAGAAGGTACCATGCGCTTCAACAATCTTATCATCTGGTAGGTCTGCACGCCTCTCTAATGTGTCAATGTTTTGAGTATAATGACGTAACAATAAACCTGGAAATGCATCTAAGTGATTAAAAACATGGAAAAGAATGTTCATCTATAATACTATTATTTGTGCGTTCATAATGTTATATAGAGAAAAGTTCTGCAGCTCTTAGTGATATTTTTCAAAATTCATTGATATTCTAAATCATAAGACAAAATTTTAATTTATTTCTTGTTAATAATATTTTATAAATGTAATTAATATTTTATAAATGTAATTAATATTTTGTAAATGTTTACATTAGTAAAATATATAAAAATTGTAAACATAAGCTGATATTGTAAATAAAGCTAATTAAATATACCAAAGCCTTTTCAGGAAAAACATTGTTACCATTTTGTGTATTTTACAGGAGATTTAAAAAATATATCTTAAGGTATTGACTTTAACATAGAAATAGCTTTAATGATCTTTCTTCTTTACCACTCATTGCCCATTGCCTTTTTTGTCTTCTTCATTCAAAGACTTTTTTTTTGTCTTAAATACCTTTCTAAACTTTTGATGAACTTACTACACCCAACTCTTGCGTATAATCATTGCTCAAATAAAAGTTTCTATATAAATTGGCCACATCCTTAAATTAAGTTAATAAGTACAAATTGTTACGCATTCATGTCAATTTTCACTATAAAAGATATTACAGCAAGAAATGGAAAAGATGGTGAATTTTAGGTGTATCTTTGTGATTTTATTTCTGTCTTTTTGGCTGAGACAGAACCCTGAAATATAATGCAATTTTCTTATTGTTAAGTATAGTTAATTTGGATAATATTTCTTAGTACAAAACCAATATTGATTTCTATTACAAGTAACAAAAAATTCATTGGTTGTCACTCATGATAAAACTTTCAAATGTCATAAAAATTTTAACTTTTAACTTTAAAGTAAATGAGTCAGGCGCAAATGTAAGTGATCATTAGTTAATACCAAAAACCCTATTTTTGGAATTTTGACATTTACAATGTTTTTCCTGAAAAAGCTCATTATTATGTTGAAAAAAATTGAATAAAAATTAGTTAGTGTCAGGCTAACATCAAGTGAGGCTAGCCACAACTACTAGTATAGTTGTATAGCCGAGTGGTTCGCACGCCGGTTACAAGGTGTCACCATCTCTGAGGTCCTGGGTTCGATAACCAGTCGGGTTAATGTAGAAAATAAACTTTTCTATATTGTCCTTCATGTCTCAGATACTCCATAAGACAGAGGCTCTAGCTACTCATCTTGGAATCTGCACAATGTATGTGATGTTCTTTAATATTTATTTTATCTTCCAGTCATTTAACAAAACAGCCTATATTTGTTACAGCTAAAGTAATAATCTAGATATTATACAGTAAAAAATCTGAATTTATTACTGAATCTAGCTTGTATAGAGAATGTCTAAAAATAAAATTAGATAAAGTATAAATAGACAAGCAACAATTAAAATACAACAAATCAAAAAGAATTGCAAGTTTTAACGCATAAAAGGGTATGACAGAATAAATTATGTAAAATGAAACAGCTAGGATAGAATAATTCTGTCTATAGAACTTGGTTAGAGGTTAGTATTTTTTATTTATAAAATTAAAAGTTAGAACCTGATTCTCTGTGTAATTATGAGGAATAATTACACAGAGAATCCAGTTCATGAGTGGTTATTATAAATAAGCTTTAGATAGTGATTAATTTATAGTGACCGACCGAAGCTTCGGCATCGGGCACCTTCGGCCAAAAAAACCATCTTCGGCTTCGGCCCAAAACTAGGCCGAAGCCGAAGGTTTCGCCGAAGGTCCGAGCTACCGTCGAGATTGAACGAACTGTTTCGAAAGACTGAGTGAGAGAGCGATGGACCGGTCGTGTTGGCAGAGGCCGCGGGGAGTCAGGGCGCTTGTGCACTACAATGAATTTTCAGGTCCGGCGGGCCGACTTTTTCCGGTCTCGAATGACATGAAAAATTTAGGGCACATTTTAGGGTAGCTCTCTGTGAAGCTACACGTCACTTACAATAGGCACAATGAGATTTTTGAAACGTTGGTAATTGCTTGCTCTATTACTGTACATGCAAAGACGTAGAAGACAGGAAAACTATTCCTGGCACAGGCTAGCATTACCTACATATGGCCTGACATATCAGGGCGGAAAAAATCGGACCGCCGGATATGAAAATTCAGTGTAGTGCATAAGTGCCTTCACTGTCAAATCTGTATTTCTAAATCAACTTCTATATGAGACAGTCAATATAACCTTCAATATTGAAGTTTTGAAATAATTTTAATATTAATTGTAGCTTGTAGACAATATTGAACAACATTAATTACTGAGAAATTATAAACCATCGGCTTCAGCTTCGGCTTTTGCCGAAGGTTGTGGCGATTGCCGATTAATCGGCTTCGGCTTCGGCCAAAAATATACCTTCAGTTGGACACTATTAATTTATCACATTATCCACATACTTTAGTTATTATTTATATTATCTAGTGATTATCAATAATTGCTGATTAAACATATATATAAATAAATAAATAAAATAAAATAAGTAATTTAAAAAACTGAGCTTGTAAGTTATACATGGCAATTTATGCAACAATATATTATTTCAAAACAAAATTATTTTTCAGTTTTTATTGTATTGTTGCATCATCATAAACAAGAGGATGACACTGCTGGCGTACTGTGAAAATAATGTACATGTAACATACTAAAAGTATTCAAGCAGCAAATTTAATTCAAAGTAATTTTTGTATAAAAGCAAAATATAACGAAATATAGTGTTGGAACAAGCATTGTTAGATTTTAGCAATCCAGTAAACCCAGGTTATTGGAGTTTCACAACTAACCCTGTATAAATAAAAATAACTTTTACTCAAAATTATAAAACAATGAATGTTGATTTATCTTACCTTTTTCATGTAACAATTTAATAAAATAATGTGATTTGGTAGGTTTAAAATTTCCTGGGTACATTTCTTTAGCTAAACAAAAGAATGGTTTTGGATTCTGTCTGAAAAAATTTATTTCAAATATAGCTTGAGGTTCCGGAAGATTGTACTTCTGTAAATTATGATATAAGCCAGTCTCTGGACTGCGAAAGTCTGGAATTCCAGCCGCTGAAATATTTTAAAAACTATAAGTTATGTTACAATACAGAATATAGTATTGAACTATTTATCAATTCAAATTATTATATTTGTAATTATGATTAATCTAATAACAAATAAACATATCACTGACAATGACCTTGAGAATGCACCTGCAATGTAAACATTTCCTTTAAAAACTATATTTTATATAAACTAATGTAACATTAATTCAGTTATGCATACTAACTTACCAGTTGATATGCCAGCACCAGATAATGTTATAATTTTCTTACATTTATCACTCTTAATCCATTTTACAATACCATCCAAGTTAACCTCATCGAGTACTTTTTCACTTGGAGCTGACGGCTCAGAGGGCTCGTAAAAGCCGAGTTTCTGTGCCAAGTATCTTCTAATAGAATCTACGTCCAGGTCCCTAAGCCTAGCGCCAAGATTCTCAATTGGATTTGGCGGGACACTAGGGCCGATGGTATCGATGGGCTCTTCCCCTGAAAATGCAGTATTTTATCATTAATAATTTAATAAACATAGTTATCTAATATGCAGCTCAAATTCAAGACTTACCATCACTCTTCCCTGGTGGTGTATTTGCAGACATTTTACGTGGTAAACAAAGTAAACTGCGATTCCAAACCTTTGTCCAATATTTCCACGGATTTTTTGACAGATAGATGACGCGCATTCTCGGAGTTAGTTTGGAACACACGAACAGAAATAAATAATTTTGATTGTGTTCATTGAAAGGTTATGTAACATCGTCATGATACTGAAGTTGTAGTGTGTGCACAATATCAACAAAGTTATTTTTGGCTTTGTTTTGAAGCCAGTTTGAAGCCAATTATATATTTCATTTCTACAAAGTACACACTTAATGAAATCGTTTAATGATATTTTAAAACTGATAATCCTCAAATGGATACATAGTTATCCATAAATTGTTAGGATCTACGTATAAAAATTGAAATATTTAAAGCTACTTTGTAAATGTTTCAGCTAGTGTTGCCAAGCTATCAAGTTTGACTGTCGATAATGAGGAAGTATGTAAAAAATAAAAGTAAGTTCTTGAAATTAAACTAGATGTCACTAGCGAGGTTTGGAATGAAGCACAAAAAGCGGAGCGGAGAATTCCGCTTGTTCTTTTTTATGTGCAGTATTTTCATATGTGCAATTCAGTCTAGGCTGTTACATAGCACTTGTGAAAGTTGAAAACTATGCTAACGGTTCGCAAAACTACGGTGAGAGATCTTGCACTGAAAAGAACCGACAAGAAACTCAGCAAGGGCTGCTTTTTTCTCCTTGTTTTATTTCACACATATAAGTCTTATTGGAATGTGACTTAATTACACTATGACGTCGCTTTCCATTACAATATCAGAAATAACAAGACAGACATTTTTCGATTACTGATTAATACGTCGGTTGTCGAATCATACATACTCATTGATAAATCAATATACAATATTCATAATAAAAGAAAATGGATGAAGATAAGTAGTCCTGTGTAGACTCATTCCCAATCCGGCAGCACCCGTTGACGAGCTTGACGCATGAGCCAGCCATCGCTTCACTCAACTACATTTCAGGGAACGTAATGACCTGGCGCACTCGACACCACCGCAGAGTAATATTATTGTAAACCGTAGCTAAATGCCACTTTTAATTATATCACAGCATTAATTAAATTTGTTTCCATTAAATTTAAAAAAACCTCTGTGCTCACTTCCATTATGTTAGTTTCCATTTTCCTCTATACAAATAAAAAATAAATTTATTCAAAGATTACTTTGTATTAATCGAGTTGCGTTTGCATAACTCGAACTAATTAAATTTCAACTCGATATTAATCCGAGTTATCAGATCCAAAACAACACTGACAATTCTATTCTCTTTGGTTTACCGTCATGAATTGACGTTTAGATCCAACAATTTGTGCTGCCATCTACTGACATAATTTTTTGTAGTTTCTTCATTTTTTTAAATACTTCCTCATTTACTTTTATACATGAAAGAAAACCGGAAGGGTTGTCATGGAGAAATCAAGAAAGTACCATAGCGACATCTAGTATGATTTCGAGAACTAATTTTTTTTTCAAATATTTCCTCATTGACATTTATGCCCTATAATTTGTGCTGCTATCTAACTACATAGTTATATTATTGTATTTTTTTTTAATACTTCCTCATTATTGACCTTTAATAACGAGCTTTGTATGTCTGTAGTTTTGACAAAAGACGAATGATAAACAATCATTTTATAAAAATAAATAAAACAAGATGTGACTAACATCCTTCCTTATAACATTACATTATAAGTAAGTAATAATTTGATAAAATATAGATTTCTGCAAATGAAATCTATATAAGATCTTTACAATATAGATCTTTACAAGATACAATATAGATTTAATATAGATCTTTACAAGATACTTATTTTTACATATAAAAAAAATAACTCACAATATTTTCATTTTAGCAACTATACTTTGTTAAATTGATAAAATAACCTATATAATCTAATTATTTCCGTTATAATGAATGTTTGCGACTAAATATTCGAATAGAAATAGTTTAGGGTAATGTCTACCTATTAGGTTTTTCTAAGAAATAAAAATTCCAATATTCTTTTTCTTATTTTTAATGTTCCTCAACTTTATTTATTCGACTAATTGGGTGATTAAATGCCTTCATGTATATTTAGTAAGTGTTTTTGCTATTCAAAGTAAGAGAGCTTTATTGAGGCAAGGGATAAAAATGTTTGTTTGATCAACGCGGATTCATTAAAATTCATGTACTGGTGGGGCTACTGGTGTCTACAGTTAAATGTTGGGGTCAGGCGTTTTCAAGAAAATCAGTGGGATGTTAATAAGGGTAGAGGCGGGGCTCAATAGCTTTTTTTTAAATTTTTTTTTTAATGGGATATGGGGCATTCAAGCAGACGGATCACCTGATGGTGAGTGATTACCGCCGCCCATGGACACCTGCAACACCAGAGGAGTTACAAGCGCGCTGCCAGCCTTTGAGGGACGAATATGCTCTACGCTTGAAAGTTTGAAGGTCGTATCGGTCCGGAAATACCGCTGGCGACAAACTGTTCCAGAGTTTGGCTATGCGAGGCAGAAAACTTCTAAAAAAACGCACAGTTGAGGACTTCCAACCATCCAGATGATGGGCGTGGATTTCTTGTCGCGTGGAACGATGGCGGAAAGTAGCGGCAGGAATGAGTCCGAACAATTCCTCGGAGCATTCCCCGTAATAGATGCATATTGAAGCAACATTTCCACGCAGGGCCATTGGATCAAGCCGACTTGAAGTGTCCCGGCAATCGATGATTCTAGACGCTCTCCGCTGAATGCGGTCTAGAGGAAGAAGCTGATATTGGGGTGCCCCTGCCCAAAGATGAGAACAGTATTCCATATGGGGCCGAACCTGCGCCTTGTAAAGCTGCAGGCGATGCGCCGGAGTGAAATACTGCCTCGATCTAATAAGCACACCAAGCTTCTTAGATGCTAATTTAGCTTTATCCTCTAAGTGACCACGGAACTGGACCTCGCTCGATATGTTGACACCGAGAATCTCAATATTGGCTGAGGCAGTTAAGGGAATGTTTTGAAAGCGAGGTGATACGACAAAAGGGGCTTTTTTGGCGGTGAATGCGCAAACCTGTGTCTTAGTAGGGTTGAACACAGGTGTGACCCCAGTTAGAGACTTCTTTTAACGAAGATTCATTATCAGATACAAGTTGATTCCGGCTCTCAATGACGCTTTCCCGAGAAATATTAGCACGACCGTTTTAGGTGGAGTCCTTCGTGCTGTCATCCGCATAACAATGAATACCGCTAATTTGCAGCATGTCATTAATATGCAGAAGAAAAAGTGTAGGTGATAGCACACATCCTTGGGGAACACCAGCATTCATAGACAGTAGGTCCGAGCATTCACCGCCGATTAAAACCTTAATACTTCTGTCTGCCAACAAACTAGTGACCCATGCACATAATTTCTCGGGAAGCCCACACGAGGGAAGTTTTGATAGAAGAGATCCTGATCACGATCTAGGCATTGAAGCTGTGAGGATGGCACTTAAGGATAAAAAAGGCTGTACGGAGGCGGAGCTTACCTAGGAGTTGGACTGACGGAGGAATTCAGTCAAATAATCCCCGTATTTTAACTGGCGATTTGAAATTAAGTAAAAATTTAGGAATATTCGTTCCTAATGAATTGACCCAAGAAATCAAAGCAGCTAGGATTGTTGCATAAAATAGTAATTTTTCAATTACTCAGGCACTATCTATAGCTACTTCAGCAGAATTTAGCCTTAGATGAAAGTTTTGAGGACTCCGAAGGATCGGACCCACTCCAAGTACTGGCTAGCTAAAAACGAACCACAACCTCATTTTACTGTTTCTAATGCTCATGGCCTCTAGCGTATGTCAGTGTTGGGTTTAGATTGGCACTCGATCGCTTTCTGGGAGTTGTTATCATCTGGTAAAATGTGAACTGCTCACTACGACCTGGATTTCCTTCATAGGCATATTGGCACCTGGATTTGGGGAAAATAAGCATAAGAGAGTGATGAGAGCACGATAATGAAAGTCAAATAAAAGCGAGGGATTTTTCGTATTGATGGGTAGAAGGAAGCGGGCACATTCCCCCTATGCACTTGATTTTTAGCCTTGTGACTGTGGCTGCTTTGTCATTTTAAAGAATAATCTATAATCTTTTAAAGAATAGTCTTGAGAGGAGTTCGAAATACGCATGGCTTCGGAAAAAGATGAGATTATATTTCGAAATAGATTTACGGGACTAACTAATTCCGCCTTCGTATTACCGCACCAAGCGGCACTTAGACTTAGACAATAGTGCAGATTCTCAGCATCTTAAAACCAAGTAAATTTATAGGCAAGCGGTCTATTTCTATAAGTTAATAATGATATTTTTTGTAATTTCTATAGAATATTCTTATGAATCTGATTGTGAAAAAATATATAATTTCTACAACAGCGACAAACGAAAATCCTAAAAAAATTCCAGCAAATCCACCAATATTACCTGTAATAAAATATTTCATTATGTCCGAGTTTTTTTTGGTATAAAATGAAACCTTATTACGTAAGCTTTATTACATTAATTGTCATAAAATAATAAGTTTACTTACTGACAACTTCGAACCAGTAGGAAATAACATCTAGGCGATCTAATATACAGTCACTAGTGGATTGGTAGACGCTGATAACAGACTTGTTTGTAAAGTTCATATTACGTCTGAAAAATGATTTGAGTTACATGTATAAGTTATAATGATGATATTAGTTTAGATTATAAGTATAATGTATTATTAGGTCATCTTTAGTACATAAAACAAATGTTACTGCAAGTATTTGACTTTGTGCTTTAGTAATATTTCTTCATTGAAACGTATCGTTAGACGAACGCATCGCCTACTATGGCATCACTATTTATCAAGTGTATTACTAACTGTCAGTCAGCTGTCACTGTTTGATGATATTCATTCACGACTCGGTTTGTGAATATCAAATTCATTTCATTTTCATTTTACATGTAAAAATTAATTTATTTACTTGACATTGGCAGAATTGTGCGAAATGCGCAGATAAGCCATTAATTAAAAAAGAAGAAAGAAGAAGAAGAAGACTCGGTTTGTACCTAAGGCTCTAAGGTATATACAGTCCATACACTTAATGATGCCCCAAGGATGCCCCGGTAGGCCACCAACCAACCATTTTTATAGGTAT